TTTTTTGTTTTTTTTTTTTTTTTTTTTTTTTTTTTTTTTTTTTTTTTTTTTTTTTGGTTTATTATGCATTTCTATAATGTTTCATATCAACTAGTTATAAGAAAATATTTTTATGTATTTTTTAGCCATTTCCAAGCCACTCATTATTAAATGAACTATATTTGTTTTTATTTTTAAATATGTGCATATGAATGGGAATGTTTTGACTTATTTTGGCAAAATATTTTAGATTTAAATTTATAAATAGCAAACATTAAAATGATTTTTTTTTTATTATTATCAGTAAATATGTTTATTCTATATTTTTTATATTGCTAAACTTAATATTCTATTATTAATATTTTTTAGAATTTATTTAAATATATATATTATTTTATTTTTAATAATTCATAATTTCAATTGTCAATCGTTTCTACATAATTTTATTTAAATACCCAAATTTATATTTTGTCATAACTTTACAAAATATTGGAAATGACTAAAAAGTTTTCTAAAAATATATGCTATCTAGCTAAACTGTATATAATTTATTTTATATATTTTTTGTTATGTCAAGATATATATTTTCTAAGCTCGAAACAAGAGAAACATAAATAGAATTTGAGCAGAGCCAAGAGGCAATTTAATTATCAAAGTTGTAAAAAAAAAAAATAAACAGTAGTACAAGAAAGAGGTTAAAGACGTTCTGAGAGAGCCAGAGAACAAACATAACAAAGCGGTGGAATTTTCGTATTCGATATTTCATATATTTTGTATTGTTTTTTGCTTGCTGAATCTATTTTTGTTGTGTTAGCTTTTGAAACGAACTTTGAGCGCAATATAATTAATTAATGAACAAATGAAAAACGCCAACTTTCAAGACAGAAATAAATGATATTAATTAGAGACGGGCACGCGCAGACACACATTTAAAGCGTTTCAGTTTGTTGTTTTTGTTTTTTTTTTTCAAATTTATTTCTTATTTTTAAGTCAGACAAATTGACAACCGCAACGAGACGAAATTAAGGAAAACAAATTACTTGAAGACAGACAAATGAATTAGAAACTTTGCCGATAACGAACGCAAACGAAGGCAGCCCCAACAAAATCAACATAAATAATAATAATACAAACTTGTTGCTAAATTATAAATAGAAAATTAAATAGAAGTATATTTATATATATTTGATAAATATATGTATGTATGTTTTTTTCTGGGCAACATTCAAAGTCATTCAAACGTGTGTGTTTCGTCTCTTTGGTAGTTTATAATTCTTTTGATGATACACACACACGCACGAACACACACACACATACTCTCTCACACTCACACACACTTATTTGACATTCATGTGCCACATTGTACCCACCAGTTGCTGCATGTGTGTGGGGGGTGGTGGCGCCAGCACCACTGCTGCCAGCACCACCGGCTGCCGTTGTTGTATCCGTAGTTTGATTTTGATTAACGACAAATGCCGAATTCTCCTCCTTGGTAATGCTCATATAATAGCACGTGTCATCCTTTTTCATGATGTGCCTGGGCCCAGGGTTCAGCAGTATGGTATCCTCATAGAATTCTGGCAGCTCGGCCGGACGCACGCCCACCAAAGCGACGCCATACCTAAATATAAGAAAAAAAAAAATATATATAAAAATATATTTGTTTAGTATTATTTTTCTTTTTGGCATTTTACATAAATTTGTATTTGAATGGACGCAAGCGTCGAAATATATATGAATGACGAGATAAAGAGGCGTGCAAGTTGGCATTTATTTGTGCCCAGCCACTCCCCATACGCCACTCAACGCCACGCCCCTCCGCTTGGCTGCGAACGTCGAAACGTCAATTCAGTTTTGTTAATGCTAAAAAGCATTTTGAAGTATCTTCACTTACTTGCGATGCGAATGAAAGCTGGCATAGGTAAAACTTTTGCCCTCGTACTCCCCGAAGAAGCGACTGTCCCCCAGCACAATGTGATAGATCTCGTTGCCGGAACATTTGCCATAGAGACGATGCCATTCCTCCGGCGACTGTTGACCTTCCCTATAAAGTGCGAGACGGCACAGAAATAGAAGTTAGAGACAAGTTTAATAAGTGCAAGCCAGAGAAATGAATTCAGTTTTCAGGTTTTAAGTTTCAATTGTTCGGATCCGGATTCGGATTCGCTTTGGGATTCTTTCTCTGGTGTCTGGCCACAAATATGTATGTTAAAGCAACGTGCCGAGTTGAACAGACTCATTAGAATTCTTTAGTTAACTAATGCGTCAAGTTATACGCGGCGTATGATTAATCTGGCTTGCGTGCTGAAGCCGCAGACAACCCAAGAGTATTTCATTCATTTAATTTAATTTAATTTAATCTTAATTGTTTTTCTTTTTTACACACACTTCATGAGCGTGCAGCATTTGCATAAAACACAGTTTGGCTGCCAGAAACAATTGCGCATTAAATTTAATTAAAACTCGCACTTCAAATTGACGCGATTTGCGCATATTTCCCTTTTACAAATGCGTCCGTCCTTGTGCCAGTTTGATATTTAATGCAGGAAATGGAAGTGGATGCGACCAACGCGTGCTTAAATGCTTTCAACAGCTTAAAATTTAAAGAGTAATTACTAATTGAAAGCGCTGAGGACTTCAGCAGGGTCGCAGTTGATGAATTGAGTGGAACGTCGAATATTAATAAGAGGAAACAGAAAATTTAATTATACAAAAAAAAAAAATAATAATAAATAAATAAATAAATAAATAAATAAAAAAAATAAAATAAAATAAAATAATTAATAAAAAATAAATACATAAAAAATAAAATAAATAAATAAAATATAAAATAATATAATAAAATAATAATGATAAAAATAATAATAGTAATAAATAAATAAATGAAATAAAAAATATTTATATGCATATAAATATACAAAAATACAATTATTATAAGTATAAAAAAAATACATATGAAAGTAAAACAGTATAATAAATACAAAAATATATTGTTCCCTTCGGAACCGTTTGGAACCTATTAAAATTCAAAATAAAAGGGTTGCCGCAGGTGCAGAATAAAAATGGCAAAAATAATTTCAAAAAGCTAAATAAAATAATAATAAAAAAAGAATAATAATAATAATAATAATAATAATAATAAATAAATAATATAAAAAACACAATTATTGTGAACATGAAAAAATATACATATAAAAATAATAATATTAAAAATAAAAAAAAGGTGAAAAGGTTGTAAAGGAGTTTGTAACCTATTAAAATTCGAGATATAGGGATTGCCTCAGGTGCACAGTTATTTAGCAGCATATCAAAGAAACTAGAATTTAAAATGCGTAAAAACAAATAGCCAGCTATAAAGCTTATCTATGGCCTTTTCTGTTGATTAAGTAATTTGGTCGCCTGAGTGCCTGCCCGGCGTGTTGAAGGATAGCAGAAAATGCGATGCGAAATGCCAGATGACACAGGTGACACGCATCAAGGCGGCAAAACTGCTGACGCAGAGCAGCTAAATGTTTTTTTCTCTCTCTCTCTCGAGTTTGCTGACCATTAACAGTTGACCGGGCATTACACGGGATATATGGTATATATGAATATATGAATATATGATGATATACATGTGTGGTTTTTTTTCTTTTACGTACTGTCCTCGTGATGTGTGCAGCAGGAGTGTGACTAGCGTGCTGGCGCCGGGGCAGGTGCAATTGTTGGCCAGCAGGGCGTACTTGAACTCATCCTCGCAGACCACGTGCTCGGCGAACTTCACATGCAGCTTGTGCTCCGGTCTGGCCACAGCGAATTTCCGCACATCAATATATTGATATAGAGAGACCAAACGAAAAAAGAAGACGAAAAGAATGAAAGATGAATGTAAATACATGTAGTTAGCTATATGTATAGATTGACGGCATTGGTTCCGTGGCACGCACAGTGCTCAAACAGTGAACGAAATCGAATTAACTGAGGCGTGACAAAGTGTCGCCCGTTACACGCAACAGAACTCACCTGAATATCTGTACATATTGCGGCACATTCGGCGCAAAGTCCTTGACGGCCCAGGACCGCAGTATGGTATGCTCATCGGCCGCCGTTTTGTCCGCATAGTTGCGAGCAGCCAGTATGAAGCAGGCTTCCGCCTCGTTCATGCGCGCCCGCGCCAAGTCGCCGTCCTTCAGGCAGGAGCCCTGTGCGTTTGTCAAAATGTCATTGGGCATTTGGCATTTGGCGTTTGGCATTTGGAATCGAATCACAGTTTGTCAAATATTTATTGAACCAACCTGAATGTAGATGACGCGCTGCGCCCAAATAGGCACCTGCAATATCATTCGCATCGTTGTGTCCAGCTCCATGGGACTGAGCAGCACCACATAGAAGTCCTGCAGCAATGGGTGCGCATAGAACTCGTTCAGAAAGTCCATTATCGTATCCGCATGCAGCGTCGTCGAGCAGACAACCACATGCTTCTCGCTCTGCGCTCGATGCGAGGAGTAGCTGCCGCCCAGTTTCTGTCGCTCCATCCAGGTGAAGGCCAATTGCTCAAACTGCAATCCAATGTGGGGACAAAAATAAAAATAACGGATATGAACATCACAAACAATCTTAATATATTTTTAAGAGGAATCCGAGTCCTGCTCGTGCTTTATTTGTTTGCATGAGCAACTGTTTTGACATTCTCGCAGCCTTGGCCTAGTCACCCACTCAAATATGCTCAAATATTTGTGCTTCTAGCTACTTAAGCGCTTATGTCCACAAATTGCTATGCTTTAAAGATAATATCCATACTTATGAAAACAAAAAGAAACACTTGAATCACTTAAATTCCTATTTGGGACTCAGTGAATGAAAGCGAAAATCAAAAGAAAAGCAATATATGAATAAGTGGAAATATTTCTATTGCTGCATAAACGGATTTAAATTGTTTTGCCATTATTTTGAGATTATTTGAACATTTATTATGCTTATAAATACAAAATAGAGGCAGTGGAATATTGTAATTAGCTTTTATTTATTAAATAAATAAAATACAAATTGATGTATTAAAAATAAAAATACTCATCAAAGAACAAAAAATAAAATTAAAAAATATTTTTAGTAAGTATATAAATATTTTTTTAATATAATAATTCCCTTTTTATGGGTTGCAGAAATTTGTAAAAATTATTTATTATATTTATTATCATAAACAAATTTTAATTATTATTTAATTATTATAAAAATACAAATAATAAAAAATTATAATTAAAATAATATGTTTAATTTGTTATTTAATTTGTTATTTTTCTTCTGTTGTGAAATAATTTTTAATCGAAAAAATATTATATTTTGATAAGATATAAAAATCAAAAATATTTATAGCTATTCCTATCTAACTACCTATCAGTTTTCTTCTTTCAGCTACCTACAATAGCTGTTAAAGCCATCCGATGACGCTCTGCACTTTATTCTACACCCCTATATATGTACATAGTATACCCATATCTTAAGTTTGATAGATTGCTGACATTCAATATTGACAGCGACACAGAGAACGTTTTTTGTTTAACTCGATTGCAGTCTCAATTGCAGCACTAATATTTTCAATAAAATTTAAGTGCTTGCCAGGCGGGCACACTCACACACTCACACACACACACACAGTCAACGCACCATCCACACTCACTGCCAACATTTTGGTCACAATGTTGTTGCTGCTTTTTGCTATTGTTATAGCTGGTCATAAATTGTTGGAGCGCGTCGGGCATATTGACATGGAGCTTGTTTGAGAGAAGTGCCTGCAGCCAGTGCCCCAAAAAGTATGCTACCAAAAAACAACATTTTGATTGATGCTCTTGTTTTTTGGGCAGCACACTGGGTCCGCCGGTGGGTTCATCAGTCAGTCCAGTCAGTCGATTCTATAACTGCTCAGATTCAACAAACATTTATTCGTTAATTGTTTTGACTCGGGTCAGACATGATTCTGTCATGTCATATATATATATATTTAGACAGATTGATGACCAGTAGGCGCCATCGACTCATCTGTTAATAGCCAATTTGATTGATGGACTGAGCCCCGGTCAACATGCGCCAGCTAAGCAGCTTAAAACTGTGTCCGCTCGCCTATCTGCTCTCATCTATCTACACGATGTACATAAATATTGGCATAAAAAAAAAGTCTGTGGCCGCCCAGATAAGTCGCCAGCAAAAAGTTCTCATCTTCATCGTCTAGTTAAAGTAGTTGAGCGCAGTCGGGCATTAAATGCATTTACTCACCTGCGTGGGCAGCACAATGAGTGCCACACAAATCATGATGACCATATACAGCTGTGATGGCCAAATGTCCGGCACAAAGTCGCCGTAGCCCACTGTGGAAAAGGTCACAACCACATAGTAGGTGCTCTGGAATAGATTCAAATGGCGATGCCCTGCGCGCTGAAAGTGCTGTATGCCACAAACACTAAAAGAGAGAGGGAGAAAGGGAGAGAGGGGGAGAGCGTGTTGGATAGACTGAGCTGGTAAGTGAGTTTGTTGTAGCTTACCTGGTGAACACCAGACACAACAATGTGGCCGACAAAATGGTCAACTGTTGTGACAAAGCCGATTGGGACTTTTGCATGGCACGATGCAAGTCGTTCTTAAAAAAAAAATTAAATAAAAATGTTTCAACATACAAATTGAGAATTATGGTTAGTTTAACATGCACACACACACACACATATATGCAAATACTTACAAACATGTTCTCCAGCGAACGTTTGGCCAGCCAACAATTTAAGAATATTGGAATGAAGAGATTGCGCAGCGGCGGATGCACAATCTAAAGGGAAAGCAAACGGAAGCATAGAACGGATAATTGTCGAATAAACAATTCATTTAGCTGTCGATTTAGTGGACTAAGTGTACTTACCGTTAGTGCAAAGGGTATTGTCGTTACTAATTCTAGTATAAAGTGAAATGAGAGTATTTGCTGCCATATGTTGCCCTGGGAATACAGAAATGAATATAAGATTTGATATTAATAACAATAGTTAAAGAATAAAATGATATATAATAATAGTGATTAAAATAAATAAATAATGAATAGATGAAAAATATTCTATTATATTGTAGGAAATATTTAAATATATTAATTTAATAAAATTTATGAATGGTAGATACTTGGACTTTTATGTATAAATATATATTAGAAAATATAAAAAATAATTAAAATAGCCAATTTATTTATTTATTTTTTTTTTCAGCATCAAAAATAGTATTTTTTTAGTACGAAATTTTATTATGAAACATATTTTTTTTTTTAACTAAAAACTAAATTTTAAAATAAAAATTATTGAAAACAAAACAAAAATTTTTTAATATAAAAATTTAAAAAATCATTTATTTTGTTACATTTCAATTTTTATTAAAAGAAACATAAAAACTGCATTTTTATTAAAATAATTAGTCTTAATATTATATTTTTATATATTTTCCCTTTTCACATTGAACTCACCTTATAGCCTAGATATGTTAGAACCAAAGATTGAGTTAACGACACCATGGCTAGAAGTAATTGTAGCACCCAGAGGACAGTGGGCCGATTCACCCAGAGTATTGCATCCCAGTTAATAATTGGATTCTCCTGGAACTCCTCCTCCGTCAGCTTGGCAGAGATGATAAACTCTGTCTTATTGGCCACTTCGCAGCCATAGCTGAAGCCAAAAGAGAAAAGAAAAAGGTTATGAGAAATGCTCGGCCATAAATCTGATTTGTTATTTGGCCGTTGGCCAGTGGCTTACCATGTTATAAATGTTGGATTTTTATCCAATATCACACGTATTATGTAGAGAACACACGACAGTAACTTAAGGAATAAATCGGCAATTCGTATGCGTAAGCCTTGAAAGAGAAAGTGGAACAGAAATAGAAAAACCAACACACACACACACACACAAAATGAAACAAAATTTGGGTCAAATAGCTAAATAGCGTAGGCAGGTGCGTTTAGTTCAGCTGCGACGTGGTCAGCCAACAACAACAGCAACAACAGCAACAGCAAAGCGAAGACAAAAATAAACCCAACTGCCAGCTTTTTGACTGTTTACCAATCTACCTATTTACCTGGCCAACCTGTTTACCTGCACAATTATTTCCTAACCAAATCAATATTTACTCAAGTATATTGCGTCTGCCACTACATAGGCAATTCGCCTTTTTTTGATGTTGTTGTTGTTGCTGCTGTGTTTGTTGCTTTCCCTTCTGCTTCTTCTTGCGGCTGTTTTTCCAATTGATTTAATTGTTTGTGCGGCCTACGAAAACTTTAATCGCTTTGCCATAAGTTTATTTACATTCGTGAATTCTATGTCGGCCAGTCGGTCAGTCTGTCTGGCCAGAGTTGAGTACAGTGGGCACTCGTTTGAGATGACTTGCGTGAAAGTACAGTATATTGGAGATCTTGGGGAATAATATATGAGCTTGGAATCATTTCTAGCAAATTTCAAGCTTAAGCAAGAGAAATATTTAATTTTGAATTCCGTTTATAAAATATTTTTTTATATATATATATAAATATTAATTGTAAAATTAATAAATAATTATTTTTATATATCTGAAATATTTTTATATATATTTTCATACATAATATATAATAATATTTTTATATTTAATTTAATGACATATAGAAATATATTAATTCAAAAAATATTTAATTATGTGTAATTTCTTCATGAAAAGTAGAAAAATCGGTATTTCTTTAGTATAAAGTTTATCTTAGTCTGCTTTTACTGTGCACCACTAAATTATTAAGAAAATCACGTAGTAAATCAAATTTGTTTGCCCCAAAGAGTATACTCTATCCTTTTCTATCCCCTCCCACCTAGTCGTAGCACCATCTTCATTTCCATTGCAAATACTTACTTGAACGCTGATTCTTAATGAAATAGAGTTGCAGTCTTTCTTTGAATGTGTTTTCATTCACATAGTACTCCACGCGCACTCTGCAAAGACAACAAAAATAGAGAGGGAAAAATTGTATTAAAATATGATTGAATTCGTTAAGCCTATTAGCAAATGCAAAGCGCATTTCCAGAGCTAAACAAATTAGTTTATATTGTGCCAAGCATTGCGTTTGGCGATAAAAATGACAATTGAGCTGATGATGATGCTGCACTTGGCAATTTGATGCGCTTACTGATCACATTATACGGACCATAAAGTGACACCGGCCGCAGCTTGCGTTGCCCCTGGCAGCCAGTCCCTTGCCTCGCCGCCTTCCACTTGCCACAACGGTCTGTCATGGCATTTTCCATTAAACAGAGCAGAGCAACGTGTGCCCGTCTAGTACATATTAAATTGTCAGTGCATAGTCTTTTCTCTCTATCTCTCTCTCTTTCTCTGTCTCTTGACAGCAGCAACGCTCAACGCCAATAAAAGCTGCAATTGCATTGTAAATGAACTGCCAATTGCACTTGCTGTTAGCTGCTCTTGGCTATGTGGATTAATTCTGAAAAGTTTCAACTGTAGTTGAGCCGATAAGTGAAAGCTGCTTTTAACAGCTTCAAAGACAAGCTAAATTGTTGACCAACACTTAAGGCTTTAACAAGTCGAAAACTGAGCTCTACCAAGGGCTAAAAGCTTGAGGTTGGCTATAAGTACTAAAGACTTTAAGAAATTTTTACTTAAATATGTATATATAAAAAAAAATAAAAATAATTATAATAATAATTTGACATCAATAGCAAGTCAAAGAATATTTTAGACAGGTTTGGACTCAACACCCAATAAAAAAAATTAAAATAAATTTTATTTTAATTATATATATTATTTTTATGCTTATGAAATTTCAATTTATTTATTCATTTACTTATTTATCAAATATATTTATATGGCAGCTTATATTGTATATATTATTTTTTCAATATATATTTTTTGTATGTCAAATTCGGGTACAATATACATAGAATATGATTTATATATTATTCATCAAATTTTCATAAAAATATATATATACAATGCTTTGTTAAATTTCACTTCATCCACCCAATGTCATTGTAACTTGATCTTCCAGCACTTCTTTATTTATTGGCACATCTGTTTCGCCAGTGCTAAAGGAAAACATTGCGTGTGCAACGTGGCGTATGAGCAACGTTTAGCTGGCAATTCCACTGCAGCTGACAGCATGACGGGGCTCCAAAACTGAATGCTGAATGCTGAGCACTAAAATTGCAATGCAGCCAGCTGCAAGACATAATATATATGTATATGTATATATACATATAACTATTTACGTATCTCACAGTTGCAGCTTGCAAGTATCTTGTATCTCAAGTTTAGCATGTAAATTGCTTCAGCTTTGACCATAACTCACGAGTGCCTGGCAAACATTCAGCAAAACATTCAAGCAGACATTGCTCAAACACTTGACTGCCCTCAGTCTAAGCGCGTCTGTCCTTCCGTCTGTCGGGTCTGTCTGCCTAAGTAATTAAAGCGTGCACAGTGCTTTAGGAGTCGAAATGGACAAGCGTTCATTTGAATGCAAACCTGATGCTTTGTTTGGCAGCTAGTTAGTAAAATTATGAACACACAAAAGCAGCTCAGTGCTTCGGGAGTGAGCTCCTCCCCCGGCTGGCGTATGCAGGCCAAGGTTAATGGACGAGCGTAGATAAAAGCGTGGCAAGCCGGAATAAATGAGACCCGTGTGGGCGAGTGGAGGCACTCAGCACTCAGCACTTGGCGCTCGGTGGTGACCAATCAGTTATGGCACAGCAAGTTCGTGCAGCCGCACAGCGACGTGCCACATCCAAGCGCTGCACACAATCAACTCTGACCTGGCGATAGAGCCAGACGGAAATTCGCTGACGTTCAGTTCATTCCACTCGGCCAATGAACGCGGCAGAAGAAGCGTCATTTGCAGCTGCGTCTGCTGCTGCTCAAACTATGCTGTATGCGAGAGGCGAGAGGCGAGCAGCTCACGCATGCTGCGAATCGTCTTGAATGCTCACTTTTGACACATTCCTCTCGGGGCCAAACAATGCCAAAGTTCAGCAGCAGCAATTGAACCCGAGGCCACTTTGATGTTTGGCCTCGCTCGCAGCACACAGCTTACAGCTCAGCTTAGCCAACTTGGCCAACTTCCCAAACAAAAAGTAGCTGAAAATGTCAACAAACATTCAGAGTCGGTGCAATGACACCCGCCGCTTGATGCTTGATGACATTACATTACACTAAATGCAACAGTTTAGCCAAAGCGAATCAATTTCTCTGGCGGATAAAGCATTTCGTCTTTTCATATATTTTACACGACAAAGGCGCTGAATTTTCTGCAAAGAACGAGCATGAAATGGCAGAGCGACAGCTGAAAAATTACCGACTGGTTTTTTATTGTCGTGCAGCAACTGAAAATGAATTGACGTTGCTTTTGGTTGAATTTAATATATATCATTTAATTTAATATAATATATATAATATAATAATATATATATTTCAATAATATAAATTTTATTATAATACATATGTTAGCATATAAATTCAATTAAATATATTTAATTCATTAAATTAAATTAATTTTATTTCCTTGGATTAGAGTTGATTTTAATTTATTATATATAAATAATAAATTAATATTTGTAAATTTCAATCCCATTTTTTGTACATTTTTTTTACAGTAAATCTAAATATTTAAAAAAAAACAATATCAATATAAAAAACTTAAGCAATAGTTGAAGCTTATGAGAATCTTAATATAAAGTGGTGCTCCTTGCACACTTGAAACATGATTCTTATCAATATTTCGAAGCTGTCAAATTACAAGCCACAAGCCTCTTTAGGCTACTGGCAGCAGTGTTTAGTGTGAACACTTGATATAAAAAGGAATACAACAACCTACGCAGTATGCCACAAACCTAAATGCTTCGTAATAAAAATGCCATCACTTAGCTGCAGCGAGCAGCCAATAAAAATGTAAAATAAATCTTAAGCACGATTGCAAATGTAAGACAATACAGGTGTAAATGTGTTTAGATGTGACTCTAGCAAAGAGTGGTATTACTTTTAAGATGTGGCGCATATAATATTTATATTAAAACTAGTCAGAAAAGTTAGAATTTGAAAAAAAAAAAAATAAAAATAAAAGCTGTATAGAAATATATTCTTTAATTGTAAAAATAATAATACAACTACGTATTTATATAAATATATAAACACCTATTGTTAATAATAATAATATGTAAACCACTCAATAATATAAATATATATATTTTTAAATTTTTTTTATTATTATTATTATTGATATTTATTTTTTATATTATTATTATTCTTATTATTATGATTATATATTTTTTTATTTATTTTTTTTAATATAATTATCATTTTTTTTTTTACTCAATTTATGATTATTTTTCTGCAATTATTCAAAATAAATATTCATTAGCCACAACACTTTTAATTAGATAAATTGAGTAGATCCTTTGGTCTCTGTCGGCCATAGAGTAATATTTCGTGCATTTTGTGTTTCGTGTTTACTATAATATTCAGCAGCAATATCTTTTATAGATATCTGTATAATATATCAACTCTATTATAGATATCTGTATAATATATCTACTCTATTTTTAATTTTCCAAAACGCATGCATTGAAGCTGACCTCAATCGTAGCTACGAGTGCATTTTCCATGCAGACGCCATTAAATAATTTTCAGTGCTTGACTTTTATCTACGCTGCGGCTTTAATTATGAGCGCGGCGAGTTTTAACTGCATTTAGTTTCTCGACTGTAAAAAGCTCCTCTGCACGTTTTAATGGGCCGCAATCAATGTGAATTGCTTTGGGCAATCAACGCGTCGCAGCACTTTACGCAAAAATACCAAAATACTGCTGGATGATTTTAAGGAGGATGCGCTCCTTTGTTTTATAACCTTCTCAGCTCAGTTCGGTCGTGCGTCTGCTTAATGGGCCAGCAGCTAGATGGACTGAACTGATGGACCTGAACGTAAAGCGACGCCCTGTCGTCATCAAGACCATCAAGCATGTTGTTGGCTGTTACTCAATTGGATTTCGAGCCATCGCAACGGCCGCCTTTGAGCACAACTCGTTTCGTGAGCTTGTTGTTTGACCATGTCGTGGATGTAAGGTCTTTGTGCTGTGCTTGCTTTTGTGTGGACAACAAAAGCCGCTTCATTGTTATGCCAGGTATTTCATACGGGCCCGCTTTGATTTCGAGTCCCGCAACTTTGCACAGCGAAAAATTTGCTTTAAGGAGAAAAAAATATACCGTTCGTTCGTTCGTTCAAAGTGAAATTTAATCAAGTTTTGTAATCAAATCTGGGCGCTGCTGCTAATAGAAATGTGAGAGCAGCTAGCAGACGAGGCAGAAGAGACCGAATAACGAAAATCACATTTAAAAATCAATAAAAGGTAAAGACAATATATATGTATATATTTGTAAGGCCTATCTAGGTGCGGGCAAGGTGCTGCTAGTGGCGCCGCAGGCTCTGCTTTAAATTCAATATCAACATTCAATTTGACGCTCTAATCAAATGACGAAGCAACAAAAACACATTAACGCGCAATTTGTTGTGCCACAAGGCAAACATTATAATAAGTGCTACAGCAAGTGCCAAAATGCAGAAGTAAGAGTACATAAGAGATAAGCGAAATCAAGTGAAAGCGTTGCAGTTGGGTTGTATCGACCGCAGCATACTCATTCATGGCGCAAGGTTTGCTAAAGTCTCTCATTTCACATGAGCCCAAGGAGAGCAAAGTAGATTTTACACTAAACCAATATGCTCACTTGACTTTCATGGATGAGTATAAAAAGTCCATCGTAGTCCGCAAATTGATGCCAGACCCTTAATTCAACGCGCACTTGATGAGCGAAACAACTGCATGCAATCATTTTAAATGAGCTACGCACATTATGCATACGCACTATTGTCCCTTAACAAGCATTAACACATATATGGAGCAGATATACTATATATGTCTGTACATATATAGCAAA